CCTGTGTAGTTAAAAATTTTGTTCTTCTTTATTTTCACTAAAAGCAGTGATTAAGGAAATCTGTTTAACCATGTATTTTAAGAAATGGAATTGGGGGGCCACAGAGATGGTTCAGTGGTTAAGAACACTGACTGCTCTTGCAGAGGACCTGGGTTCAGTTCCCTACATGGTGGCTAATAGCTGTAACTCCAGTTCCAGGGGATCCAACACTGTCTTCTGACCTCTGTGGGCATTACATGACATGGGTGCACTTATATACATGCAAGCAATATACTCATACACATAAAAATAATAATTTTTTTAAAAAAAGAAAGAAATGGGGGCTGGAGAGATGGCTCAGTGGTTAAGAACACTGGCTGTTCTTGCAGAAGACCCGGGTTCAAATCCCAGCCCCCACATGGCAGCTAACTGTCCGTAACTCCAGTTCCAGGGGAGCTGCCAGCCTCTTCTGTCCTCTGTGGGCATCGCACGACACTGGTGCACTTACCTACATGCAGGCAATACACACATACACATAAAATAAAAATAATAAATAAAATATTTTTTTAAAAAAAGAAATGGGCCGGGCATGGTGGCGCATGCCTTTAATCCCAGCACTCGTGGGGCAGAGGTAGGTGATCTCTGTGAGTTCAAGGCCAGCTTGGTCTACATAGTTCCAGGGCAGCTGGGGCTACAGAGAGACACTGTCTCAAAAAGACCAAGAGAAAACAAAAAGAAAGAAATGGAATTGGGGCTGATGAGATGGCTCAGTAGGTAAAAGGGCTTGCCATCCAAGAATGACAATCAGTTCTTTTCCCAGAACCCACAGTGAAAGGACAGAACTAACTCCCAAAAGTTATCCTCTGATCTCCACCCATCTGCTGTGGCATGTGCACACCTGCTTGCACACCTATCATTCACATACAATAAAGAACACTTTAAAAGTGTTGCTTAGCTTTTTAAAAAAATGTGTATCCGTGTTTTGCCTGCATTATATAAGTGCACCACAATCATGCGCTGCCCACAGAGGCCAGAAGAAGGCATCAGACTCCCTGGAACTGGAGTTGCAGGAAATTGGGTGCTAGGAACCAAACCTAGGTCTTCTGCAAGAGTAGCCAGTGCTCTTAAATGTTGAACCAACTCTGCAGCCCCCACTTAACTTTTTTACATTTACCGTGCATGCTTATAGCATGTGCCCATACATGCATCAGAAAGGCTTAAAGGCAACAGATTTCCACTCCTCCTTGCTCCCAGAGGCTGAAGCTCTTCCAATTATTGATTCTATTTCTACTCCTTTTTTCTTTGTTTTTGGTTGGAATTAGGTATCGAACCCATAGCCTTGCACATGCCAGGCAAGAGCTCTATCACCAAGCTGCGGACCCCAATCTGTTTCCACTTCTTTAATGAACATTACTTTACAATACCATAATTTCCCTGTAATACTTGTAAGACAAAGTACTTTGAAATAATTATTTCTGTTGGATTAGGTGCCCCCACACACACTTTTTTAGTGGTAGAAATAAAGCTAGTTCATTAAAGAAGAGAAAGGCACCCCCTGAGAACGCGAGTGGGCTGGAGGGACAGGACTGAGACTCAAGCTTAGTTTTTTCTCCTCATTGTGAGTTCAACACAAAGTCAATGCTTTAATAATGCACACTAACAATTTTGTTTCTTTAAAAAATTTTTTAATTTTAATTATATTTATTTGTTTGTGTGCACATGCATGCCATAGCACATACGTGGAGATAGAAGACAACTCGTGGGAGTTGCCAGAGTGGGAGTACTTTGTCTCCTGGGTGCCGGGATTAAAGGCGTGTGCCACAATGCCCCACCATCTCTGATCAAACTATTCCCTAGATAAAAATCCTTGGGATAACCAACTTGTAAAAGCTCCTAATTCTTTTGTGTGGTAGCAGAGAACAGCATCCTCATCCACACAAATCACAATACTACATTATATGAAGGACTATAACTAGTCTAAGAAGCCATCATGAGCAGAGTTGGGAGGCCAGCTCGGCACTCCCATGATTTCACCACTTGGGAGACAAAAGCAGAACTGTTCCAAGTTTCAGGTCAACTTGGCCTGTTTACTGAGTTCCAGGGCTAAAGAGTGAGAGTCTGGCATAAACCAATGTAACGGAACAAACAATGGCAATGACTGACAGGTTGGAAATCACAGTTTGACTAAAAAGTTAAACGCAAAGGCATTAACGAACCTCTTATCAAATATAAAAAGAGAACACTTTTCAGAAGAGCCTTATATATCTCTTAGTGATTTCAAATTGAATTCTAACCTTTTATTTTAACTGTACCAGGCTTACCTCCCACCCTGCACCATAGAAGGGTAGGCCTCAAAGATCAGTCCTACTGCGTGCTTCCCTTGTAACATAAATGTGAGCATCTCCACTGTATAGCATCTTAACACTTCCTTTGACCTTTGATGATTCATTTGAAGAATTTGATTTTTTTTCCCCCTAAAGTGTGAGATTGGGTGAAATGCATGTCTGTTTACAAAAAAACAAATGGGGGAGAGAACAAGTAGACTACTGCTGTGTTCTCATAATTAAATCATGAACAAGTATACTATTTCTCAACATGTTTGATATGATTTCTTCTGACTAATCTCTATCCTTTCTCCCTCAGTTTCTATCAGTTATAAATCATTTTTTTGATCATATTAAAATGACTGCTTCATTAACCAGAGGCAACTTTCCAGAGTAAAGGCAGGTTTAAAAAATATATTATTTTTTATTGTGCTTTTGTGTATTTCATACACAACATCTTAATCATCTTTATATCCCCTTCCCTATTGGTACCCTCCCGTAGCCCTCACTAGGTTTCATACATTCTGTCATTTATGTTAAGGCCTATCAAGTCAAGTTAGTGTCACCTGACATCCCTCAGTGCAAGTTCATCTACTGGGGTCCAGTCAGCCTATCTAGAGACCTTCCCTTAAAGATCAACTCTTCCTCACCCAGTAGTAATCAGCTGCCCAACAGTTTGGCTAAGACTGGGGCCTGCTGTCCTTTTCCACAGTTCTGTGCTGGGTTTTTGTCTGTTTGAGTTTATGTGGGTATTGTACATTCTGTCACCATTGCTGTTAAGTGCATATGAGCAAGGTCCCAGGAGCCTATAAGACCCTACTTCCATAAAGTCATACACCTCTTCCCCTGGCTCTTACAATCTTTCTACCTCCTCTTCCACAGTGGTCCCTAAGCGCTGGGTTCACTGCCCTCTTTACATGAGGGAGCTTTGTTGATGAGAATTGAGAGACGTATTTGTGTTCTCTCTACCCCTTGTTCCACTGTGTTCCACAAGTCTTAGGTGTAAAGGCAGAGGCTGTTTTAAAGGTCCTACCACACATCTAAGTGTTGGTCACAGCACAAAGCACAGCTGCCAAAGAGAACATACACACAAAATGTCTCTGTGCAGGACAGGGAGGTATGTATGACACAGCTTTTCCTCTTAACTGACATAAGCAGTAGTTACACATAAACGAGAGAAAATTCAGTTATTAAAGGAGACATTCTCATGGGATCCAATCACACCAGGGACCTTAATAACAACAGACTCACATTCTTCCTTTATATATTACTTTATGATTTAGTTTTACTAAATACTTTATACTTTTTAGAGTAAAAATATAAAGCTTTTATTTTTAGAGTACAGACATGCTCCACAAATTCTTATTTCTCTAATGTCCTCAGACTCATCTTCTAACATAATACAACTACCTAAGATTTAGGGAACCAATACAAGGAAACTATCATCTCTGTATTTATGCATTAGAAAGTATGCCTAGGTTTGTGACATATTAAGCATAAAAAGAGCAATGTCACTAGGTGATGCAATTTTTAGAACTGAAAATATAGAAGCTGGGTGTGGTGATGCAGGCCTTTAATCCCAGCACTCGGGAGGCAGAGGCAGGTGGATCTCTGTGAGTTCAAGGCCAGCCTGGTCTACATAGTGAGTTCCAGGTCAGCTGGGGCTACAGGGATACCCTGCCTCAAAAAGACCCCCCCCCCCAAAAAAAAAAGAAGAAGAAGAAAGAAAGAGAAAATAAAAGCTTAACATTTAAAAATGCCTCTTAATGTGCTGGGTGTGGTGTGGTGTCACACGCCTTTAATCCCAGCACTTGGGTGTCAGAGGCATGCGGATCTTTGTGAGTTCAAGGCCTGGTCTACATAGTGAGTTCCAGGCCAGCTGGGGCTATAGGGAGACCCTGCCTCAAAAAGACAAAAAAAAAAAAAAAAAAAAAAAAAAAAAAAAGATGGTCCAGGCTTGAAGAGTATGTACTGTGTCTGCAATATAACAGCCTTAAGGATCTGTTGGGAGATTGGCTCAAGATGTTGCTAAGGTTCTCTCCAGCTCCGAAGTGCTTACTCAGAGGATGGGCATGCCAAGGAAGTGTGTACATGGTGGCAAGTCCACTGGGGTACTTAGGAGGAGCTACATGGACCCTTGGACAAGAGAGGGTTGCTGCTGCTGTTTGGTTGGCCTCCTTCTCTGGCTTTTTGCCTCACTCCCCTCAACTGTAGAGTAGACACTGTTAAGTAGAGGTATGGCATAGTAACGAAGGACAGGATCAGCAGAGAGTGGAATTTGTTTTACCTCAAGCCAGCTTCTCATCCTTGCTAAACTCCGTCTGCAGTGGAAGCAAGAATGACCCTTGTGGTTTTTCACATGAGTGAAATACAGTACATCATCAGACCTGACAGTAGTAGTTGCCCTGTAAGTGGTAGATCTACTACCTACATCTGCAGCAACAGCATATGCCTGCTTCAATAGGCACGTAGGAGAGCAGAAGTTTGGAAGAGAGTTAGAAGGGTGTTTAAATGTTTCATAGGGCATTTTTATATTCTCATTTTTTACATATATCGGTGAGTTTGCCAGTTACCAAGACTTTGAACATCATGTGAAGTGGCTTTCTTAAGCACTGGTTTTCTTCTCAGATTAGGATTTTTAAACTGTCTTCAGTTGACCCCACTTTTTTCTCACATGTGCCTTTTGCTGTGTTGCAGGTCAAGCAGGCAGAGTGCAGCAAAGGCCTCTGTTGTTGCCGTCATGCCGTTCCCATTTGGAAAGTCACACAAATCTCCAGCAGATATTGTGAAGAACTTGAAGGAGAGTATGGCCGTTCTAGAAAAGCAGGACATTTCTGACAAAAAAGCAGAAAAGGTATATATGCTTCAACTCTTTTTAGTAAGAACCCAAATACAAGATAAATTATGAGGTAACTTACAAATCAACAAATTCCTATTTGGGTTTATTTGGGGTTTTAAAAAGATAGCCCTTAATAACACATTTCTAACTTTTTAATCAATTTTTCACTTATAATTTTGTTTGTTAAAGTAAGTTCTCGCTGTGTAGCTCAGGCTAATCTCAAACTTCAGTCCTTTTTTCTACCTAGTGCTGGGAATATAGGCATGCACTACCACACCCAGAGTTTATTTAAAATATGTTTATTTGTGATAGAGTCTCATTCTGTCTTGCCTAGAACTCACTTAAGTAATCTGGATGGCCTAGAACATGGGCTGATCTTCCTGCTTCAAGTCTTCTGAGTGCTAGGATTACAGGTGTGAACCACTGTGCCCAGCATTCATTTGTTTCACTCTTGAAGTGTTTTGTCTGGTGTGTGTGTGTGTGTGTGTAATATATAATTTTATGTGTATGAGTGTTTTGCTGCCTGATATAAGTGCATCACTCATGTGCAGTGCCCATGAAGGCCACAAGAGGGTGTTGGATCCCCTGGAACTGGAGTTACAGAGAGTTGTTGGTCACCACACAGGTGCTGGAAACCAAACTTGGGTCCTCTGCAAGTGCTCTTGACCACCAAGTCATCTCTCCAGCCCTGTATCTGGTTCTTGAAAGCAGTTTTCCCATTAGCAGTCCCCTCCTCCTCCCTCTCCTCCTCTTCCCTCCTCCTCCTCCTCCTCCTTCTCCCCCCTCCTCCTCCCCCTCCCCGCTCCTCCTCACACATGGCATGGCCAGCTGGTCCAAGGAGAGGAGACCCCACAGAGAAGGCATGATTTGTGCCTGCTGGGATTGCTCAGTGGCAGTTCCTTCATCCTTAAATTGTTCATCATTCTTCTTTCTGTTCCTAAAGATACAGTCTACTCTTTAAATTCATTCTGTTCATCAAATTGTCTGTCTGATTCTATTTTGCTGGAGATTGAATCAAGACTTATATTTCCCTATTAGAAATGAAAACCATGAAAAATTTTTAAATCCTACTTATTATTTTTATGTATATGACTGTATTGCCTACATGTAAGTACACTCATGTATCTGTGTCATACAGTACCCACAGAGGTCAGAAGAGGGTGTCAGATTGCCTGGAACTGGAGTTAGGGATAGTTGTTAGCCACCATGTGGGTGCTGGGAACTAAACACGGGTTCTCTGCAAGAGCAGCCATCACTCCAGCCCTGAAAAATCAAGAAATTTTAAAATAATCATTCAAGACTAATATACACATTCTAATTTAATATATTATACAAATAGCTATGTCGTCAAAAATGGAAATTCAGTGAGAATAGTGGCATTGCTTTGAAGCAGCTTTGAAAAATCTTTTATTGTTGCTTGATAGTTCCTTGATAGAAGCCACTGGCTCCTGCCATTCAATCTCTGATTCATTGTCACGGTTTAAGTATATAAAGATTTTACCTCTTATAGACTTGGATGTGGAGCCTCTTATGAAAATAAGGGGCTCTTCTAATAGCATTTCAAATAATTGTGAATGTTCAATACCACGAAAGAATTTGATAATTGGCAGTAGGTGCTTTTCCTACTGGCACTTGGTCATGTCTGTAAGGAGCCAAACACCCTTTCCATTTTTCATGCCAAGTGTTAAAAATATATTTGTGTACCTAAAGATCAATATTTAAATAAAATGCTCTACTGCTTCCTCAGAGGTATGCCTTCCCTCCCTCCCTCCCTCTGTTCGCCCTCCGGTAGCCTAGACTTTCTTCAGGCTCATGATCCTCTATTAAACTTCCTGAGTGCTGAGATTACAGGTGTGTGTCTACATGCCATGCTCTCATGGGCTTTCCTAGGTGAAACTGACATTCCTTTTCAACTAAGCATGTGGTGATGCAGACTTTCGTGACAGCAGTTTGGTGTCGCTGCCTTGCTTTGTACCAAGGTGTTAGCACTGTTGGTGTAAATAGCTGAGCAGTCGGGGAACGGCACCTAACGTCTTCCCATTGAGTGAAACCCTCATGGGCCTTTTGAAAGGGTCTTGAGGGACCCCAGTTAGACACTTTGAAATATACTGTGAAAATTAGTGGGAAGAATATGGCGGCCTGACTGCAGAAGCGGGAATATCCTGGTTTAGATAAGATGTGCAGAGCGACTTGTTGGAATTATAGGAGGAAGTGCTAGGTGGCAAGTGGAGTCTCTGATGTAATTGAATCATCTACCTGACTGAATTGGCACATTTCCAACCAGTGGCAGTTTTGCTTTCTCAGGAGACACTGGAAATGCCAGGATACAGTGTAGTGTGTGGTGGTAACCCTGGGGGAAAAGCTGCTACTGACATACAGTTAGTAAAGGCCAGATATGCTGCTAAGAATAGAATAGCAACAAAGAATTATCCAGCCAAAAGTGTCAATGGTGCGGAGGCTGAGAACTCCTACTCTAAACCAGCATTAAGCAAGAATAGACCCGCTATTAGGCTAAAGCAAAACCTTGAATTTTTGAAAAAGATTTCAGTTAAGGTATAGTAGCAAACACCTTTAATCCCAGCACTTAGGAGGCAGGAGCAGACGAATCTCTGTGAGATGAAGGCCAGCCTGGTCTTTATAGTGAGTTCCAGGCCCGCTGGGGCTACAAGGAGACCCCATCTCGCCAAAAAAACACAAGCAACTATTGCAAATGAACATGGGAATTACCAATACTGAGCCATTAATAAATGTTCTCAAAAAGACCAAGGAAAAAAAAAAAGAAAGAAAATAAAATGCAAGCGCTGATAGGAAACAAGAGCTGATTAGGAGACCTAAGTGAGTAGAATATTCATAGCTTCTCCACAGGTCAGCTGTGACCATGTAGAAAATTGCCTGTCTAGGCATGTCTGCCTACCTGATTCACTATAGCAGCAAAAGAAATTACAAGATATCCAGGAATACTTTAAATAGAAAGTATTCTGAACCTCTATTAAAAACAAAAGACCCAAAAAAACAACAGACCATATTCAGAGGCCCAAAAGAATACTCAGTCCATGGTCTCAGATAAGAAAATAAAATATGGCCAACATGCCATTTCTTCCTGCTGTCATTTCTCAGTCAAACAGCTCATTTCAAATCAGCAGGACTTTTTTTTGGAACTTGACACATGCAGATTCTACTCTGCTCTGAAAGAAAACATGCTCCAAAACATACTCTGTTAGTCTTCACAATCATTTTTACAAATCTCCTTCTGGGTATTCAGATAAAAAAGAGCCACCATGATTCCTTTCTCCCCAAATCAGTTGTTGGAAGAAAATATTTTTTTAACCCATAATCTCATCATTTTCTTCTGTTTTCCTTGTTACTACTTTGTCTGAGCATCCTTCACTCTGGATTACTGTAGTGTCTTCTTCACTGGTCTTCCTTGCTTCTTTATAACCATTATGAGCCTTTCAAAACACAAATCCATAATATTCCTTCTAAATTAAGACTTAATCCTTACATGGGACTAAAGTACATTGTGCAGCCAAATCTTGCCTAGGTCTATTTTTAGACTTTTGAACTGAGAATGAGACAGAAATTCTGTGTCCTACAAACCTAAAACATTTACCATCTTCATAATTTACAGGAAATCAGTGTTGCCACTGCCCTGGACAGTGAGTTTTGTAGCCTTGGTGTTCTCCTCTGCTCCTCCTCCCCACACTGGCCTTCTTACCTCTGATGGTTCAGTCAGTCCTGCCTTTAGGCCTTTGCATATGGCTGTTCCCTTCCCACAGAATGTTCTTCCCAGCTCTCTCCTTGGCTTACTCCTCATCTTTTTCAAGTCTGCTCAAATGCCACTTTTCTCCCAGCCCACTATTGAAAATACAACTTTAGCAAGGTGTGGTGGTGCACATCTTTAATTCCAAGCACTAAGGAGGCAGAGGTCGGCAGACATCTGCGAATTCCAGGCCAGCTAGGGCTACATTGTGAAATCCTGTCTCAGAGGGTGGGGGGCGGGGGGGAGAATAAAAATGCAAGCTTGACCTTTTACGTTTGGATTCCCTCTTATCTTGGTCTGTTTTCTGACAACATATGTAATAAAGTTTTTATTTTCCCTATTGGAATATAAGCCTTCCAAAGACAAAGCTCAATAAATTGTATTTGTTGAAGATGGAATAGAAAGCAGTCACCGTGGACCATTCCTACCATGCTCTCATCTGACAGTGACTGCTGAATATGATAAAACTTCCATAGTTGAATTTGTAACTAACAAGAAGAAACTAAGTATCATCTCTATCTTATGGTGGTGACCAAGTATCATATTTCTTAGTGTTGCCACCAATAGGAGTAAAACAACTTTCCTCAAGAGCTCTATCTCTGTGTTCCTCTTAATCATATAGTTTTATGTCTGCGCCCCCCCCCACACACACACTGTAGTTAAGGATGATCAGAAGACATTTTTCATGGTTAGAGGAATATGTCAAATGGATCTGGTGATTGAATCCTAGAGTTTGATGGCAGGGTTCCAGTGATCTGTTACAAGATATAGTCCTCAACTCTGAACTTTTATTGTGATTAATTTATCTGAGGAGAATCAAAACTTTGATTAGCAGTTTCTGATTGACAAGGAGAATAGAATAGAAAACTATGGGTGAATGAATCAGGTACCAAGGAAAGTTCAGTTGGCTAGGAGGGAAGGTAGATATGGCAGGGTGTGTATGACCTTAATCAGAAAAATGTAATATGTACAAAAGTAAGGCTGTGCACGTGATCTAAAATCCATAGCAGCAACCTACTAGCAGTGCAGAAAATAAACAGAATCAGTAAAAATACTTGATTAATCCAGAAGAGGGCAGGAAAGGGGGATTAAAGAACAGATGGAACAAACGGAAAACAGTGAGAGAATAGATTTCCTTGTAAATCAACAATCACCTGATAGGTATCAAGACCCTGTTTCACAACAAACAGAAAGTATCTAATAGGTAAAACACAAATAGAGTAAAGTTAGAGAACAAGAAAATAACACACTTTGT